ATGGGTCTATGCTCAACCGCGGCCCGTTAGTAGGCTCCGCGGTAGGTTATACACAGTTATGGGACGCCGCAGCATGACCACGGTCGCTTTCCTCCATAATGTAACCGTTAACACAACTATGTCTTTGGCAGAGAGGCGCCGCGGCGGCACCGCGGCAGCTCTCCTATGCAGTTTAATGTACCGCGCAACATGTTAAGTATTGCCACTTCATCTATGCAGTCTCTGGGTCGCTTTTATAGGAATAAATCCCTTGAATAGGTTATAGGCGGTTATGGGTATATCTCCTTGGTAGTGTATTCAGAGTACAACACGCCGCGGCGTCACCACGGTCGTGCTCTGAATACTACAGTCAGTAGTCGGAGCTCGCTCTGACTCTCCTTTATATCACCTAACAGAGTTCAGGTATACAGATATGTTTGTATAACACTGAAACTATCCTGCACTTCTTAATGATGTGTTTATAAGCGCAAAAATAGCTAGAGGACGTGCATTTGGTGTTGCGCCGTCTCACCGCTGTGGACTTACTTTTGGAGCTTGTTTTTGGGTCCCGCGCCACCCTCTCTCAATGTCCCGCTTAAGTGGGTGATGCCTCGGACAGTATCTCAACTGTGTTGTTGTCCACATGGTGTAACGGTAACACGCTTCGATCGAGTAGATCGATAATATCATACTGTATCGAGGTGATGTGGGTTCGAATCCCACTGCGGATTTTCCTTCAGAGACACTATTTTTGGTCCTGCGCCACGGCATCTAAGTGTCCTGCTTCAGTGGGTGATGCCTCGGACAGTATCTCGACTGTGTTGTCGTCCACATGGTGTAATGGTAACACGCTTCGATCGAGTAAAGGAGAAACCTCATCTGATTGAGGTGATGTGGGTTCGAATCCCACTGCGGACTTTCCTTCGGACACACCATTTTTGGTCCCGCACCACGGCATCTAAATGTCCCGCTTCAGTCAGACTGTTCCTTATGTCCTGCCTACTGATATGTCCTGCTACGACCCATATTTGTTCCTTATGTCCTGCTTACTCATGTGTGTCCTGCTACGGCCGGTACCCGCTGGCTATGTCCCGTGTACTCGTCTGTCCTGCTCCCACGGATATCTATTCCTTATGTCCCGCCTACTCATATGTCCTGCTATGACCCATATTTGGTCCTTATGTCCTGCTTACCCCTCGGTCCTCCCACCGTTCATACCTCTTCCTTATGTCCTGCTTACCCCTCTGTCCTGCTCCCGTTCACACCTGTTCCTTATGTCCCGCTTACCCTGCGTCATGCTACCACTCATACCTGTTCCTTATGTCCTGCTTATCCTGGCGTCCTGCTACCACTTACACCTGTTCCTTATGTCCCGCTTGCCCCTGCGTCCTGCTACCATCCATATCTGTTCCTTGTGTCCCGCTTACCCCAGCGTCCTGCTACCACTCATACGTTCCTTATGTCCCGCTTGCCCCTGCGTCCTGCTACCACCCATACCTGTTCCTTATGTCCCGCTTACCCCGGCGTCCTGCTACCACTCATACCTGTTCCTTATGTCCCGCTTGGCCCTGCGTCCTGCTACCACTCATACCTGTTCCTTATGTCCCGCTTACCCCGGCGTCCTGCTACCACTTACACCTGTTCCTTATGTCCCGCTTGCCCCTGCGTCCTGCTACCATCCATATCTGTTCCTTGTGTCCCGCTTACCTCGGTGTCCTGCTACCACCGATACCTGTTCCTTATGTCCCACTTAATAGCCCCCAATGTCGCAGCGGGGGTCAGGACAACGTCCCGCTTGGCGTTGTGTCCCGCTACCACCAGTAGCTCTCCCCCTCCTGCTCATCGAGGCTCTACGTCCCACCCACGGTCGACACCGTTACCCCCCTTTTTAAGCGTGACACGTCCCGGTTGAGGAGCTTTTCATGGGGAGCCGGTGGACATGTCCCGCCATGTCACGCCGGTTGCGGCGGGGTATCCGAGGGGCACTCTTGGCCTGGCTTTGGTCTAACTAGACGCGCCATAAGGGTGACATGTCCCGTCTAGTTAGACGGGTTAGTAGGTATTAGCAGGTGACGCGGAGTCGAACCCCGATCTGCTTCCAACAATCTTGTATACAAAACATTGGGAGGCCGTGTACCATACACTATGTCTGATCTCTCCCATTCCTACGAAAGGCATTGTGTAAGTATTTTTTCTGTAACACCCCAACCGGATTCCGAACCGGATTCAGCAGAAATTCGCACGTGAAACATCACGTTTACTTTGTACTTTGGGATTTGAACACGCAGGCTCGAGCTGACTCCAAAAAATGGGGGAGGCCACTCGGACACGGGGAGTCGAATCCCGGTGGCCTGCTGGAACTATACTACGCTTTCACTGGTTCATAATACGAGACTGGTGTACCTTGTACCATATTCGATTCTTTTAACTCTGTAAAGTTCATTCACTAGGCTAATATGGTGGACGCCCGAGATACCCGAAACAATTCAACCCGACTTCCCAAGCTGAAGCTCAATGTATATTATATTAGCCTGACCAGGATTCCGGACGACCGGAGCCAGAAGTTCACGAAGCCTCTTGGTCGCAGACGTATGGATCGAAATCCACCCGATTTTCCTTGGATCCTTTGACACAGTGCTGAACGAAAGAGGAAAGAAAAACGACGCCATCAGCGTTATTCGGACACGGGGAGTCGAACCCCAGTCTGCCTCCAACAATCTCGCCTATCACCACATGTTGGGAAGCCGTGTACCATACACCATGGCCGATTCCTTTCACTCATTTGAAGCTCGCTAGGTTAGCTATTCTTTTTGGTTCAGCCTACAGAGTAAAATACGGACAGCCAACTTCCAAGATACCCGGAAGGTTCAGCCTCTGAATTGAACCTTTTGTCACCCCTGTGTCGTTCACGGCCGTGTACACCATACTAATACACCAAATCCGATTTCTCTACCCCTTGACTCTGAGAAGTTCGCTATGCTTTCAATATTCTGGGGATCAAGAGAAATCATTAGAACAAACCCACAAAAAATTCAACACCAGCACATGCACATCCTTTTTTCTCTACATCGCACCCTGCCGTCAAAAAAATTGAAGTTGAACAAGGCCTCAAAAAGATGGCTCATCTTTTCATTCGGACACGGGGAGTCGAACCCCAGTCTGCCTGCAACAAGCAGTTTTCCCAACCACATGGAAAGGCCGTGTACCATACACCACGTCGGATTCCTCATACTGTTACCAAGGCTGTAGCACTTCAATGCATTATTCCAGTCAGAATATTTACCAATGACAATGAACGGAATTGCACTGAGACGCCGATGCCCGTAAATATTCAACCTTACTATTAATAGTACGCCATTGATATTATGAGACTCCCATTGGACTTTTTTTCGCGTTCAAAAGTGGGAGATTTCTGCGAGACGGGCATTACCGAACAAAAACTGAGTACATGGCAATTCATTCGGACACGGGGAGTCGAACCCCAGTCTGCCTCCAACAATCTCATCTATGCCCACATGTTGGGAGGCCGTGTACCATACACCATGTCCGATTCCTTCCACTCATTTGAAGCTCGCTATGTAGCGTTTTCTTTTCTTTGTTTTGAATCAGCAGACTTACCGTAGATCGAGTAAAACACGGACAGCCAACTTCCGAGACACCCGGGAAGATAAAGATTCAGCCACCAAGTCGAGCCCCGGGCCCGGATGGCAGGTAAGAAGTAAGAGGAGTCCATTACATAGAGTCTCGCGAACCCATTATACAATACTCGTATGTACAGCTAAGGCTAAGTATCCATATCCCAACCCAGCCGAATCCCAGCAGGCTAATTAAACAACGACCCATCGTTGAACCCAAACCGAGGATCGTCGAACCCGCGGCCGAACCCTGATCGTCGAACCTGCTACCGAACCCGGGATGCCGCCTCACGCCCTGGGGGAAGTTGTCAGTCACTGGTTCAGATCAGAGCGCCGTGCAGGGGTGGGTAAGTCCAGCTATCATCGAGAGAAGGGAGACGGCAAAAAAAAAAACGGGGTTGGGACAGCAAGTGAAGCCAAAGAGCAAGAACACAAAATGGAAAACACTCACATCAACGATAACGTAACATCATCCCCATGCACCTTCGCCTTGATCTTCACGTCCACCTCCAGGTTCAGATCCAGGCGCAGCTTCAGCGTTTCTTTCTTCTTTTGCCCCCCCGCCGCCCCCGCCCCCGAGGAGCCCGCCGCCACCACCTGGGCTGAGGACGGAGCCGAGGGTGTTTGAGAGGATTGCCTGCTCGGGGAGTTGTTGGGGAACGGGCGCGGGCGGTTGCTGCGACTGCGAAGACGCCGATGCAGACGAGGACTGCGATTGGGATGGGGGAGCCTGCCGCCGGCCGCGATCACGCTGCCGCGAGGTTCTTCTTGTGATGGTTGTGGGATTTTACTCGATCTGAGTGGGCCGATCCAAAAAAAAATTACACTTATCCGACCGGGGTCTCAACGTAAACTGGGTGGTGTCTCATTCTAGGGCGTACATGTTACGCCCTTCATTTCCGCGAGTTCTTTTGCCGTTCCTCGGCTTGTTATTGTCATTGCATTCCCAGTGCGTCTTTCACCTGCGTACCTTCAAGAAAGAAAAAAAATCCAACTCACTCACTCTTGCCCCCGCCCCCACGCGACACGATCGTTCCGTGTGTACACAAATTTCAAACTCATGTGGCTCCTCGCACCCACGCGTTTCTTGCTGCGCGCCGGTGGATTCTTGATGGACTCCGCCTTCTTGAGTGGGGCGCATTCCGTGGTGGCGACGTTGTGGGTGCTGTGGGTGCTCCTTCCCCACTGTGGTCTTTATTTTGTTTCCACGTTGCGCCGGCGTTCTATCTACCTCTATATATCGTTTGTTTCCCCGCTGCTGCGCCGCGCCAAATCCAAATCCACCGGTGTACGGAAAACTTCGCCGTCAATTCAGTAATTTTCCCAGATTCGCTGGCTCCAGTCAACGCATCCGCAAGTCCCGATTTTCCTTCTGCTGCTCTACCAGGTCCGCTAGCTCACAATTCTATCCAAAAGGGTGCGCATGGGATGAAGGTATTCGGGTCCTATTAGTCAATAATTGGCTCTAGGCGTGCAACCACTCAGCTCTGTTTATCTAGTTATCTAGCACACATCCTGGTTTCTAACACGTTTCACTACTCAAGAGCAGCTAAAATGCGTGCTGCACGATGCGCACATACGAGGTTGATCGCCACCTTCCCGTCTAAACCTCGCTGACTCAGATATGGAGATGCAGGGCCAATTTATCGCACGAAAACCAACGAGTGAGTACAGAAACAGGTACGTAAGTTAGTCCGCCGCAGCGTAGCCTCCCACAACCCAAGAGATACCCTTCCCACTAAACACAGCACGCGTCCTTTCCACTCTCCTCGGAGGTGATGCACCTGTTGGGGCCGCAGTTCTTGATCACTCTGACGAAGTTGATGCCTGTGGTGCATTCGAATAGAACGTTGGGGGTGCTGCCTTGCGGGTTCAGGATCCCGGCATCATATGTCGCCTGCTCAGCGGCACCCCAGTACCAGTTGGGCGGAGAGGTCTCTGGATGAACATGTAAGCCAATGACGCCCCGAAGCTGAAGTTACAACGATATATAGAGGTAGATAGAACGCCGGTGCAACATGGAAACAAAATAAAGACCACAGTGGGGAAGGAGCACCCACAGCACCCACAACGTCGCCACCACGGAATGCGCCCCACTCAAGAAGGCGGAATCCATCAAGAATCCACCGGCGCGCAGCAAGAAACGCGTGGGCGCGAGGAGCCACATGAGTTTGAAATTTGTGTACACACGGAACGATCGTGTCGCACGGGGACGGGGGCAAGAGTGAGTGAGTTGGATTTTTTTTCTTTCTTGAAGGTACGCAGGTGAAAGACGCACTGGGAATGCAATGACAATAACAAGCCGAGGAATGGCAAAAGAACTTGCGGAAATGAAGGGCGTAACATGTACGCCCTAGAATGAGACACCACCCAGTTTACGTTGAGACCCCGGTCGGATAAGTGACTGGTGGACGGAATATGGTGGAATGGAACGCGCACGTTGCGAGGATTTAGAACAAGGTGGAAAGAACCACAATCTGCTGGAAAGTGAAGCCAAAGATTGTGAGCGGCCAATAATTAATATTGACGATAAATTTGAAATTTGCTTACACAGGGAACGATCGTGTCACGCGGGGGCGGGGGCAAGAGTGAGTTGGAAAAAAAAAAAGATTGAGGGTACGCAGGTGAAAGACGCACCTGGACTGCGATAGCCGAGGAATGACAACGGAATTCGCGGAATCTATCAAGAATCCACCGGCGCGCAGCAAGAAACCCGTGGGCGCGAGGAGCCACATAAATTTGAAATTTGCGTACGGAAGGATCGCATCACGCGGGGGCGGGGGCAAGAGTGAATTGGAAAAATATTGAAGGTGCGCAGCTGAAAGACGCACTGGGAATGCGATGACAATAACAAGCCGAGGAATGGCAAAAGAACTTGCGGAAATTAAGAATTGAAGTCACGTCACAAACTACGCAAGACGCGCCAAAATAATCCTAGGCGGTGTTCTCAAACCCGCTAGAGTTTATGTTGAGATCCGAATATCTGGATCACCGACGGTTGAGGCGAGACACAGCGAAATGAACTGCATGCGTCGCGTGGATTTAGAACAAGGCAGAAAGAACATCTGCCGGAGCGAAAAACCAAAGATTGGGGCGGCCAATAAGTATGGTAAAACAATAACACATCAGACGTCAAGGGAGAGAACGCGAGCGGCCGTTGTGGCGGGTGTAGAAAAGAAGGACAGCATATGTCATTCGCAGTTTGACTCGGCACGAGAACGGGCTTCTTGAAAGATCGCATGTCCAGCACGATACGCGGCATATCCTGACGGCGCGCTTTGCATAAAACCCTGGGCAACTGTGGAATAAGGTGCGAAGGCGGGTGTCAGAGCTGCAAGAAAAACGGGGACGCGTACCATAAAGGAACCGCATGTAAAAGTGCCATTTCTATGATATGCGGAGTGTGTTTTGACCCGAGCCAAGCATCTTGTCCTCGAAATGCAATTACGGGCAACATCAAACGAGCGAGGAGCCAGTGCTCTGCCAGGAATTCCACTCGGAAATTCGGAACTTCTCAAAATAAGTAGAGGGGCCCGTGAAACCCTGCGTATCTGCAAAACAGACAAAGCAGCAGACGCGCGCTGGTTTACGGGAGATCCGCGTGTTTGCACGCATTATGAACATCCGCGACGATGGGGCGGCAAAATTTGAAGCTAAAAAGTCTCGGCGTCACAGGAGACCCTGCAAGACTCAGTTCAAGGACGAGGAGATATCCACAAAACTGAGAAGCCCAAGCCCAAGCCCAGAAGCATCCAATATATTGAGATAAATGCCGGTCCACCATCCACAGTTCCGATTAAACGAGGCTCAGATGATGAATTTACGCATCAGACGCGTTTCAGCGCTGAAGAAGCAAAGATACAGTACTCCAGACTCGGAGCGCGTTACAATGCGTTGATTCCACAACCCAGAGTGTAGTTGAGTGATATCAGAGAAACACCGTGTAGTTGAGCAGCACCAAAAACGTGAAGGCTGGGCTGGCGATTGGCTCCAGGCTCAGGACTAGAGGGGATGGTGCAAGGATGGTGGACGTTGAGAGCAAGAGACAATTGATCCGGCATCAACACAGCCACATCGTCTCTTTCTTCCTCAGGTCTGTTCTAAGTAGTACGCGTCTCAAGTCGGCCTTCCTCGCTCTGTTATTCTGGCCCTCCCCATGGCTGGCCTCGGGATAGACCCTATGTAACACTTTGTCACGGTGAATTCCTCCACCGTTAGTCCTCAGTCCGTCTGCCGGGTTCCCGGTACAGCCTTACAGGACATTTCAGGTGAATGAAAACTAATGCTGAAAAAATTCGTTTCAGCATGCATTTCAATCCTTCGGAAACATTGCATTTTGGTGGCAATTTCAGGGCTATATATTTGCTTGCTGATGCAAATTATTTCAGAAACGTTTTTGGGAGCCCCGAAACTTGACTTTTTGCGGAGTGCTTAAGGTCCGACCATTTCCGTTGAAAGGGTTGCTCAGTATCTACGACAGGTATACTAGTAAGCTCGAACCCAACGGACAGAATGCAGTAATACACTTATTCCGTAGAATAATGTATTAGACCACAACTATCAACTGAATACGTCTCCTTTCCTCCTTGTTGAACATCTAGATGATGTCCGACGAGTTACAAGTCTTTAGGACACTTTAAGAAAGGTCCAAGGAACACCGTTTAAGTTTTCCTGTTGCTGGTTGCTTTGTGGATTACTCTAAACCGAGCTTTCCCCCAAAGTGCGCAAACTAGCAGAATTAAGATCCTTGGGTAAGGATGCTCTTTTCTACAAGTGGTTTTTAGATACAAGCTTCTCAGCTTTGCACACAGAACAACACTGGTTCTGGTAGCCAATAAATCCAACAATCCCAATAACTCTGACAAGACCAATAACTCTGACAAGACCAATAGCTCTGACAAGACCAATATTCTGACGATCCCAAACTCAAATCCAACAGTGGATGTTAATCCAAAGGCAACAATCAAATCTTTAATAAACTCGAAACTTAAAACACAAACTCTAAGAGTATTGGTTTAAGAAGCAAGCCCCGAACTTGGACGACCTGAGACGAGACAGATACCGTTTAGGTACTGGCTCCAGCAGGGACTCCCGATTCAGTGCTGTACCGCTAAAACCCGTCCTCCTTATATACTGTACACTAAAACTCTTACACTATGGTGATTACACTACCGGGTATACATGTGTTAGTTCTGGTAGCTTAGTCGGGTATGCACGTGTCCGCGTTATGTATAGGATCTACTGATCTACCCCTACGTCTCCGATCGTTGCACGCCAACCTTTAATCCACCGCATGTTAACTTTGGATTATTAGTTAAAACGCGTCTTTGGTGTCCCCCGAACAGGACCTTCAGATTCAGAGAGCGTAGGACTCTAGCTTTCGATAGAGCCCCCAACCGTCCTAATCCGCCAAGTGGTTGCTGAGTTATATCACATTAAACGCAGATCTCAATTAGGAACCCCGATCGGGATTGATAACATTGATCGGTTTAGTAAGTGACCGGATTAACCGTTGCCGGTTAACCCGTCCCGAGCCGACCTCATCACATGACTCGTCGCGCCGCGTCAATTACGCAAAGTCCCCACAACAAATGGCTAAACCCATGGTTTAACGTAGCCGTCTTTTGGTACGAGCCCACAGAGTGGATGCTATCTTATATTCCCTGCCTTGTAGACCCCACTGTAGCCTAATCTCGAAGATTGACTAGTATATAATAAATCCGTTGGTTTAAGGAGCTAAACCAGTATTTGTGTTTCTGGTCAGTCATCCCTTTCGGACGGACTCGTTGTGGTCCTTTGTGGGTTAAGCCTATGGATAACCATTCGGGACTCATGTTACCCCTTAGATGTGCGTAGAACATAATAAAATCGCAAAATTGCGCCTATTTCACTAGTGTTCCATTTTCCGGCTTATCACCGTCTATAAACGTTTTTAAAACGGTAATGACCGTTTTTATTTCCAGTCCGATTGCTCGTACTGTTACAAGCCTCACTAGGCCGTAGTACTTTGCATCATCATGATTCCAGTTAGATTATTCACCAATGAACGCAATTGCAAGATGCCCGATGCCCCCAAAATATTCAGCCTCACTAGTATGCCACTATAAGACCCCATCGAACCTTCTTCCGCGCTCACGAGGGGGAGATTTCCGCGACCCGGGCATCAACCAAAGACGAAAAAATAAAATAAAAACAGAGAAGGCGACCATTCGGACAGGGGGAATCGAACCCCAGTCTCCCTGCAACAAGCGGGTTTCCCATCCGTACATATGGAAAAACCATATACCGTACTATGTCCTCCTTTCACTCATTTGAAGCTCGCTAGGTTAGCAATTTTTTTTTGGATCGGCCCACTCAGATCGAGTAAAATATAGATGGAGCCCTGTATACCCCAAAGTGTTCAACCTCACTTTTGCTGCCATGGATAATTCCAAAAAATACTCGTCTTAGTTTTCAAACTATGAACATCGGAGGTTGGGATTGAGCATATAGACTAAAACTGGAGCAAAAAATGAATGTACCAACCCAAACAGTCGGACACGGGGAGTCGAACCCCGGTCTGCCTCCAACAAGTGGCAACTCTTCCATAAGACGAGAGGCGGTGTACTCTACACCATGTCCGATTGCTTTTACTCATTTGAAGCTCGCTAGGTACGCACTTTTTTTGGATCAGCCCACTCAGATCGAGTAAAATATAGATGGAGCCCTGGATAGCCCAGCGTTCGACCTCACCCGAAAAAGAATGGATTGAAATTCACCCGATTATTCTTGGATCTTCTGACACAAAGGTGCTGAACCAAGAAAAACAAAAAGAGGAGGCTTTTGTAAAAAATATTCGGACACGTACAACAAAGCGAGCTCAAATTTTGTTGTAGCGTCTGTTTATAAGAGACTAGTTCGACTTAGAGTCTAACCCGATCTGCCTCCAACAATCCACTTCTGTCGCCCGTATGTGGGTAGGTCGTGTACCCTACACAATGTCCGTTTCATCGTATCCCTACGAAGGTCATTGTGTAAGTTTTTTTTTCTTTTGCAACGTCCAAACCGGATTCAGCGAATACATACAGACAGACGAAAGACCAAAGGACGCAGGAACGCGAAATAATCCAACACCATCAACTTTCTTTCTCCACTGTGCAGAAAAATCGAAATTCAAATGGCTAAGAAAAAGGCAACCAACAAGCCTTCCGATGTTCGGACACGGGGAGTCGAACCCCGGTCTGCCTCCAACGATCTCCTTCTACACCACATGTTGGGAGGCCATGCACCCTACACCATGTCCGATTCCTCGTACTGTTAGAAATCTCGCTAGCCTGTGCTGTAGTACCTTGCAACATTCCAGATAGACTACTATTCACCTTGAATGAACGCAAATTGCAATTGCAAGACGCCGGATGCCCCCAAGATATTCAACCTCACTAGGACGCCACCATTGAACCTTTTTCCGCGTTCACAAACTTGGAACTTCTGCGAGCCGGCATAAGAAAAAAGGAGTCCAAAGATGGTCCATTCGGACTCGGGGAGTCGGACCCCTGGTCTGCCTCCAACAATCTTCTTATTCACATCTCCTATGTGGGAAGGCCGTGTACCATACACTCCCTTCACTCATTCGAAGCTCGCTAGGCTAGCAATTTTTTTGGATCAGCCTGAGAGTAAAATATGGACAGCCAACTTCCAAGATTCAGCCTCTGAATCGTTTAGGCCTCCGAGTCCAATTGATATTGAACCTTTTGTCACCCCTGTGTCGTTCACGGCCGTGTATACCATAGTAATACACCAAATCCGATTTCTCTACCCCTTGACTCTGAGAAGTTCGCTATGCTATGAATATTCTGGATTCAGCGCAATTTTGGTGAAATCATCATGGACAGACACGCGAGACCCACAAAATAATCCGACATCAGCGTTTGCTTGTTATGCACACGCACATCTTTTTTTCTGGATCGCACCCTGCCGTCGAAGAAATTGAAGTTGAACAAGGCTTTAAAAAGGAAGATTTTTATATCATTCGAACACGGGGAGTCGAACCCCGGATAGCCTCTAAAAGAGGTACGCGCCGTAGAAATGGAGGCGGTGTACCATGCACCATGTCGCATTCCTTTTAGCCTTACGAAAGATTGGGTAAGTATTTTTTCTGGAACACCCCAACCGGATTCAGTAGAAATTTGCATGTGGAAACATCACGATCACGCGTTGTACTTTGGGATTTGAACGCGCAGGCCTAGGCTCAAGCTAGGCGGCCGGGCCAAAAAAAAAAGGACGAGGGATCGAAAATTCGGACACGGGGAGTCGAACCCCGGTCTGCCTCCAGCAATCGCCTTATTCGAGTGTATGTTGGGAAGCCGTGTACCATACACCATGTCCGACTGCTTTTAATCCTACGAAGGTCACTGGAAGTAATATTTTGGATCGGTCCACTCAGATAGAGTAAAATATGGACAACCAACTTTCAAGATACCCGGAAACTTGAAGATTCAGCCTTATGACTCCTATTATATCACCCCTGTGTATTTCGCGGCCGTGTATACCATAATAATACACCAAATCCGATTTCTCTACCCCTTGACTCTGAGAAGTTCGCTATGCTTTCAATATTCTGGGGATCAAGCGAAATCATTAGAACAGACCCACAAGAAAATCTGACACTAGAACATGCACATCCCTTTTTTCTCTAGATCGCACCCCGCCGTCGAAAAATTGAAGTTGAACAAGGCCTCAAAAAGAATGGCCCACCCATTCGGACACGGGGAGTCGAACCCCGGGCTGCCTCACAATCTTCTTCTTGACATGTCTTAAGACGAGAGGCGGTGTACTCTACACCATGTCCGATTCCTTTCACTCATTTGAACCTCGCTAGGTAGCATTTTCTTTTACTTTTTTGGATCAGCCGACTTGGATTGAGTAAAACACGGACAGCCACTTCCGAGACACCCGGAAAGACAAAGATTCAGCCAACAAGTCGAACCCCGGGCCCCGGATGGCAGGTAAGAAGTAGAGTCCATTACATAGAGTCCCGCGAACCCATGGGCCATTATACAATACTCGTATGTACAGCTAAGTATCCATAGCCGCTGGCTAATCGAACAACGACCCGCGCTCGTCAAACAATGACCCGCGATCCTTGAGCTCGAACTCAGGATCGTCGAACCCGCTACCGAACCCGGGATGGCGCCCCACGCCCTGGGGGAAGTTGTCAGTCACTGGCTCTGATCAGAGCGCCGTGCGGGGGTGGGTAAGTTATCATCGGGGGGAGAAAGAACGCAGACAAAGGAAGGGAGAACACCGGAGTTTGAGGCAAATTCGAATGAACGCAGAGGAACACAGAGGAACAGAGAGGAACGCAGATGGAAAACACTCACATCAACGATAACGTAACATTATCCCCACGCACCTTCGCCTTGATCTCCACGTCCACCTCTGCAGCTTCAGCGCTTCTTTCTTCTTTTGCCCCCGCCTCTGAGGAGCCCGCCGCCGCCACCAGGGCTGAGGATGGAGCCGAGGGTGTTTGACAGAATTTGGCCTGCCTGCTCAGGGAGTTGTTGGGGAACGGGCGCGGGTGTTTGCTGCGACTGTGAAGACGTCGACGCAGACGAGGACTGCGATTGGGATGGGGGAGGGCGCCGCGAGGTTCTTCTTGTGATGGTTGTGGGACTGGGAACGCGACGCAGGCACTGAGTGGATTTGAAAGTCTCGATCACCCGCCTGCTAATCCTCGGCCCGCGCGCCAGCGCCGCCGCCACCGCGCTGTGCATCGACAACCCCAGCGGGTGGGTCGTCGAGGAGGACGGGCTGAGTGTGTTGCGCGCCGATGCCGCGTGGCGGGCCCGGGATGACGACTCGCATGACCAATCAAGCGGCACCCTCGAGCTCGTCTCGCTCGGCGAGGACGTGCATCAGGTATGTTCTCCCTTCTCTCTCTGTATCATGTTAAAGGAAGCTAACACCCACCCAGCTCTCCATCCTCACAACCACACACCGCATCCTCACGCCCTTCCATCGCATCGGCGCGCTGCTCGCCCCGCCTGTGCTTTCTTCGCCAGATAGGGAGAAGGAGGAGGCGCTGTTGAGGGGGATGCTGGCGGGCGGGGAGGTGCCGCTTTATAGGGCGTTGGTGGTTGTGTCGCCTGTGCCTGCAAGGACGGAAGAGAAGGAGACGGTGTCTATGACTGTGGATTCCTCGTCTATGGCTACGTCTAACGAACCTCAAACCATTCCTCCTCGCCCTCTTCACTCTGAGCTCGACATCCCCATCGAAATCCCAGAACCCCTGCGCGCGCTCGTGCCCGTCGTCTTCCTCACTCCTCCCTCTCCTTCCGCTTTCTCTCGTCCCCCTTCTCCTGCGCCCAAGGCTTCTCGTTCTGGTGTGTCTTCCGCCTTAGAATCTTGTCGAGCGTCTTTCACCAACGCAGACGCAGACGCAGAGGAAGACGAAGATCCGAACGACGGCGACACCACCCTCACCCTCGACGCAGAGGGCGAGGGCGCACCGCCGACTGCGCGCCTGCCTCTCCTTCCACCACGACCTCGACCTTCTCATGCGGAGCGCGAACCCACCGTGACGTATCCCCCTGCCGCTCCCGCTCCCGTTCCTTCACCCTCCAAGAGCACGGGTCCGAATACGAGTCCGAATCCAAATCCAAATATGGGTGCAAATACGAGCGGAAGGAGCGACACGTACGCGTACACACCCTCCGCCCTCCGGCGCCTCCTCGGGCTCGAGCCTGCGCCCCACGCACCGAAAGCGCAAGCCGAGGAAGGGGAACAGGGACAAGAGCGTAACCTCCACGCCGAGTCGGCCGCGCTCTTCGTGGCGTGGTGGCGTGCTGGGGGTCCAGGTGGGGGCCTGTCCTACGAGGACAAGCACCACAACGACTATGCGACGCACCATGAATACACGACGCACGGGTACGCAAGGGTGGACCAGGCGCACGAGGGCGGGCGGTGTCTGCGTATGGACGAAGAGAGGGAGTTGCAAGTGCCTCGCCTCGCGGTACACCTCGCCCCTCAAGGGGAGAAAGCGCCCTCCCCGTACACCCACGCCCCTTACTCCCCCTATGGCGCGCAAGCACACGCACACACCGACCCGCTCCACCTTCCCTCCCTCCTCGCGCTCCTCGGGGGCGTGGTGCGCGCTGCGTGGGTTTCTCCGTCCTCTTCTCATTCGTCTTCCTATTCCTCGCGCCGGGGTGATAATACCGGAAGAAGAAGACGGAGCTGGTGGGGATGGACCCGCGTGGGCACGTTCATGGCAGGCGTTTTGGTCGGCGTGGGCGTTTGGGTTTGGGTTTGTGCGTAGCTTCTTAGAGGTCGAAGTTAGGCGGGGAGGAGGGGATGAGGAAGGGAGAAAGGAAGGAAGAGGAAGGGAAAGGTGAACGAGGGGAGGAACGAGTGGAGGAAGGGAGGGGGAGATGGGGGGAGGGGGAGCGACAAGGGGAGAAGAGGGAGAATGTGGGGAGGGTGGGGGCGGGTGTGGAGCGCGAGGTGGGGAAGAAGGGAGGAACGAGGGGAGGGGAGGAAGAGGAGGGAGAGGGTGGCGGGTGGCGGGTGGAAGGGGGAGAGGGGAGAGGGGAGAGAAGGTGGCGGCGGGGAAGGGAGGTGGGGAAGACCGGAGGTGGGGAAAGAGCGCGCAGGCGGCTCTGGCTCTAGAGGATGCACACGGGCGGCGGGAGACTGAGGCGAGGGCGGGGAGCCTTGAGGGGGAGAAGGGGAGGAGGGGAGGGGAGGACGCCGACGGCGCAGGCAGACAGACGGCCGACGACCCCGCACCCCACTCGCACCCGCACCCGCACCCGCACCCGCACCCTTCATTCGTCGTGCGCGCCCGCCCGCACCCAGTCTTGTTCTTGTCGCACCCCGTCCGCAGTCGCACTCATCGACTTGACTTTTTTTCGCGGGTCCTCGTCGACGCCGCACCGGTGTCAAGATAAAGGAGAAGCGAGAAGCCGAAGCAAAGCAAAGCAAGGATCCCGCGGCTCGGCGCAATCAATCACCTGTGCACGTCCCGTTTCCCCGCGCCCGCGCTGCCCGCCTCCCTGCAGCGAGCGCGCGCGGAGGACACGAGAACTTGCTCTTGCTTCCGCTGGACTTGATTCGTCCTTCTGCTCTTGCTCCTGCTATCGTGTCCGTCTCCGCCGCAAGACCGCTTCCGAGTTGGAGTCGTATGGGCAGACATGCGCACCATCACCGTCTTCGCCGTCTTCACTGTCTTCAGCTACGCCTACGCCTACGCGCGCGCCGTCCATCCATCCATCCATCCATCCTGCTCCTGCTATTCCCCTCCGCCG